GGTTTGTTGTTTGAGATCATCATATTAATATTGTAGTGTTATACAACAACATTAATAGCCAATTTAATTTAATCTAATCAATTAATGTTGTTAGTTACATTTAAAATCTAATTCCAATTCAAACAGAATAACCTATTGTCAACGTAATTATGGAGTGTGATTTATTTTCAAATTAAAATATCTTCAAACCAATGAAATATGAAGTTATTAATGAGAAAAATCCATCTGGATAACAGCAGACTGACTTCACGTAAAATATACGACAGGTCTGGACCACTCGTGAATTTTGTTCGTATCTGAAGAAAATCTTAGAATACGAAAACATTGGTGAATGCYACAAGTTCTCCTAAATCACTCGTACGCACAACTTAAGAACAAATCTGTGCGTACGAACGGTTCTTGCATGAGGCCCATTGTTACTACAAAGAAATAATCTACCGAACACAAAATTCCTTACAATTTGTGCTAAGTTTATAAAGAATAGCAGGTATGCAGTTTTTTTTTTTTTTTTGCCTTGTGGATGGTAGCCAAATCAGAGCATCATCTGTGCAGTGGGGGCCTGGTTTGGAGCTTATCGTTTTGAAGGAATCTCTACCAAGTTCTCAAGATTTTCTGGTTTTGTGCTTTGTGATGTTTTTACTTTCAGTGGTATTTTAGTGGCCCAGCACTGGCACTGCTGCTTTTTAAAAATTCAGACAAAGAGGGGTGTAGTTGAAACTAAAACCACAAACCTAAAAACAGCAAAACTAAAAAAACAGGTTTTAACCTTCTGTCAGGACCTTGGAAATAAAACAGTCAAAAACTTGAAACTAAGTGTTAAGCAGTTGTTAAAAAGATGAAATACAGATGGAGTTTCTTTCACTTTAATCAAAAACCTTTATTATCTGATAATTTAAAAAAGAAAAGCTGTTATAATTAAAGAAAAACCTGCAGTTGTTAAGCATCGCTGAACAAGCTGTTTCCGTGCCGTTCGCTCACCTTCCCGACCTCTAAATGATGAATCGGGCCGAGCCAACTGGACTTGTTTCTCCCCGCAGCTCTCAGGACGGCCGGCAGATGATGTACCTCCCTCTGCTGCTGGTCAACGAGCTCAGCTTCAGAGTCAGAGACCTCGTGGTGGGCAGGTTGATCTGCACAAACGTCAGCATGCTAACAGTTGTTAACGTTAAAAACCCACACGTTGATCTGGTTTCGCTGGCAGGAGATCAGCAGCAGCACCCTGCAGCTGCCTCTCACCGTGTCCTACGAAGGAATCTCTCTGAGGAGGTTCAGGTTCTGGATCCATCTGCACGACATCGTTTATTCTTTGAGACAGTTTGGTGAGCGAACATCCATTCATGGTTACACCAGCAGGAGGTTGCTGTTGTTATAAATGTGTCTGGTTTTACACAGGGTTCACTGAGGAGAACATTGATGAAATTAAAGAAACCTTGATGGGATCCAACCTCTACCTGTTAGTGCTCACTGCACTCATCACAGCTCTACAGGTAAGAAAACAAATTTGATGCTGTATTCCATCAATAAAATAACCTTTTTTTTTGTTTCCTCAGCTAATCTGTGAATTTCTGGCTCTTAAAAACGACATCAGCTTTTGGAGGAAAAAGAAGAGCATCGCAGGAATGTCAAGAACATTAGGTAATTCTCACCTCTATGACAACATAATTACTTTTTAGACTCAAATGAAAGGAACATTCAGTGTAAACGATCTTCAGCACTGAGGGAAAAAAACGGCCCGCCCTCGCCTCTCTGCTTGCAGTTCTGTGGCGTTGCCTCGGCACTTTGCTGATCTTCCTCCATCTGCTGGAGGAGACCAGTCTGCTGGTTCTCCTTCCTGTTGGACTGGGAGCATGTGTGGAGGTATGCGCCGAAACCCGTCCGATTTCACAAATGCAGATCAAAAAGACACGTTCTCAGTAATCTGCCGTCCCATCAGGTGTGGAAGGTGTTCAAGGTGTTTAAAGTCCAGTTCAGTAGGAAGTTATATGTGAGTATGAAGCATTAAAATGTTCTCAGTGGTTCTTTGGATTATTTTATTTACTTATGCATACACATGTGGACAAAATTGTTGGTATTCCACAGTTTGTGACTGAAAAGTCCACACAGGTCACTGAAATAACTTGAAACTTACATAAGTGATAAAAAATATTAACAACTGACAGTTAAACATTGTTTTCGAACAGTGGTTTAACAGAATTATTGGACAAAAATGGTGGCACTCGTAACTTAATAATGGGCTGTGCGACATTTTGAGGCAATCTCTGTCCACAGGTATGTTGGTCCACTTCAYGTGGACAAACTGATGAAGTTGTCTCAGGTTTTAATAGTTTCTTCTCCACGTGTCATGTTTCAGCTCCTTCCACAGATGTTCTGCARGGTTTAGATCAGGGCTTAGAAATACACTTCAGAACWGTCCAATGTTTGGTTCTGATCCAGTCTTGAGTGGTTTTAGCTGAGTGTTTTAGGTCAATATCCTGTTGGAAGACCCATGAATTGCAACTGAGACCAAGCTTTCTAACACTGGGCAGCACATTTCTTTCTCGAATTCCTTGATGGTCTTGAGATTTCATTTTACCCTGCACAGATTCAAGACACCTTGTCATACATGTCACTGTTCTGATGTTTACTTGTGTCTTCACTGTAAAAAATCCAACCTTTTTTTTTGGGATGAAAAACTATTTTCAGTTGAAAAAACTTGAAAAACTAAGTCTGACATATTGGAGACAATAATTTAAGCCGGTCCAAAAAAACCAAGGCAGTTGTAATCTTAAACATTATTTTGTGAGTTGTGTCAGTACTTATATCTCTATGTTGTAGGTCATTGCAACAGATGAAAGTGCTGCTAACTTCCATGCTTTTGCTGTGAAATGCAGGAAGGACAACTTTTGGAGTTGGCTTATGAGTTGAAGGCGGAGTGAACTACTCTGACACTACTCAGAGCTCGCAGAGATAACTTTTGTTCTTATGCTTCTGGTTTGTATTTATCCAGTCCAATATTTTAGTGTTAATAATGTTTTTTTTTTTAAAAAAGAACAAAATAGGCAGAAACACGATTTGAAAGTATTTGTTTCCCTCTTCCTGCTTCTTCCTCCTATCAGCTCAGACAGCAGAGTTCTTGCTCCATCTCTTTGTTGCTGAAATGGTTAATTTTCAGAAAACTCAACTCAGAAAAAGACATAAACTCTTTAATTTGTGATTCATGAACCATTTTGAGTTGTGTTGACTAATGTTGTCACATTCAGGCTTGATTTGACATCTGTGTTAAGGTTTGGTTACTGACTGTAGCTGATACCATGAGTGAAAGGTCTGAACCACAGACATACAGCGGGGAAAAAGGCCAGGACTGATGAGTGTAATCAAGAAGTACTCCTGATGGATAAGTAAGATGTTGTCTATATTGACACATCGTGATGCTAATGTAGTCATCAGCAGCAGACAACTTTTTACTAATCATTTCTATAACAAAAAAAAATTTGTTGATGCAGTGATAGAGTTTAAATTACTGCAGCTCACAGTGAAGTTCACAGTATTCAGGATTTATAGTTGGTAAAATCTGAAATAACTGGAGTAAGAGAAATTTAAGATTCATAGTTTGTACAACATAAAGTTTTAAGTTACTGCTACTGTCATGTGAAGTAGAAGAGTCTGCATTAAAAGTTCTCACAACCTAGAACTTTAAGTTTCTATAACATTTTAATGAGTTACAAAAACTTGGAAATCAAAGTTTGGCAAACTCAAAAGCAAACCTAAAAAAGTTAAGTTGAAGTCCAAAACTCAAAAATGCCCTGAAGTTTGTTGCCTTACAGTACAATTATGAGTTCTGCCAACTTTTCTTTTTTTTTTAACAGTATTGACGCTCAAAAATCTGTAATTTTTACAAAAACACTATACTCTAACACAGTGTAACGGGGCGACAAGCGGACGGTTGGCTGCAGGAAAGAGAGAATGCGGGGTGAAGATAAGAGCGTCTGCAGGACAGAGGAGCAGGGAGTGGAAGGTAGAGGTAGGGAGACGGTTTTCAAATCTTAGTTATTTTCTTAACTTTTTTCACGTTCTACAACCTGTGACATAAAATTAATTTGAAGCAGAGTTGGAATAAAAAACCCAGTAACATTGCCCTATACGTCCGTATACCTGTGAAATGAGGGGAAATCTGTGTAATTTACAGACAGTACATACACGTGAAGTGTAAGCCCTGTGCCAGATGCAGAAAAGCAGACCCAGAACAGAACAGAGCCTCCATGTTTTACTGTAGGTGAAGTGTTTTTTTTCACTGTTACATTTTTATGTCTGTGAATATAGATTTGAAGTAACTTGTTGACAAAAGCTTCAGTTTTGTGTCGTCTATTCAAAAGACATTGTCCCAGAAGCTTTGTGGCTCGTCAGTATGCATTGTGGCAAATTCTAGTCTCATTTTTTTATGATTTGGTGTCCTCCTCAGCGGTTCTTCATTAACTCCACTTCAGCCCAGTGACCTGTAGTGCAATCTGACATGGATGAACCTTTTCCTTGGATTTCACTGGTAAAAATGCATTTGTATTATCCGTCTCTTTGGTTTGGCRTCAGTTTTCCCTCCTGCGACCACAGCCAGGGAGGTTGGCTCCAGACCTGYGGACCTTAACTTTCTGATTAATCTGCACCTGTAAACACAGAAGCATCAAGCTGCTTGGTGATTGTCTTATAACCTTTACCTTTAACATGCTCATCTATAATTTCCTTTCTACTCTCTAGGAACAATCTCCTTCACTTCCTATGGTTCAACCATGTCACCCTTTAAATAAGCAGACTGATTATAAGCTTGAAGACACCTGTGATGCCAATCAGACACACCTTAGTTAAACATTTCTCTATGGTCAAATTATTTTCAGTCTTTTCTAGAACATCATAATTTTTGTTCAAGCTTGTTTCCCTAATTCTTTTAAACCGCATTTCTAAACCAGTGTGTGATTTTCATTAGTTAATTATAGTTTTATTATTTAGTATTTTATCATTTTCAAGTTGTTTCAGTGACCATTGTGGACTTTTTGGTCAATAACAGAGGGGTACCAACAGTTTGTGTCGTCAATCTAAAATAAGCCACAAACTACCATTAGCTCTTCTCTTACTGTGCAGGTAAATAAGCTGGATGAAGAGGAGAGAAAGACAGTAGAGTTTGATGCACAGGTATGGTTTTTCCTTTCTTCCTCTGTGCTCTGAGTTTATGCTTTGCTTYAGGCTTTATTTAATTAGATTCATTTGTAATTTCCTCTCAAGGCATCCAGATTTCTGTCCTACTTGGTGTATCCTCTGTGTCTCAGCGGAGCCGTTTTCTCCTTGGGATACTTGCGCCAAAAAAAGTGGGTTAACCAGCAAGTTCAGCTCTCTAAATGTTATTATTATTATTACTATTATTATTATTATTACGGGGTGTTGCATCTTTGCTCTTCAACTTTACCTGAAATTAAAGCTCACTCGTCTATCGTTGTGGTCCGGCCACAATGTAGCCAAGTGTGTAGGTCTGGGGAGAATGTAGCGGATCTTCAAAGAGCCTAAAACGAGGAAAAGAGATAATTTCTTGAATGATTATTGGGTTAGAGTTCAAACTAATTTGACAAACGAAATGACTTCCCCTGAAAATGATCAGCTACTGGATGGAAAATAAGTGAAAAAGTAAGTCCAAAGGAAAAAATATATAGAAAAACCGTAAAAAAAAACCTTAGAAATTTAAATCAAGGGCTCCTAAAGTCATAAAGGTGACATAAACWTTTTGTAATAAATATGAATGAGATTTTGTAAAGATAACATTAAGAGCATGTAGAGGGAAACAAATCATAATGCTGAGGTAAACGGTTGTTGAGATATTTACATGTGAATAAACAGGAAGTGATGTCAAATGGGAGTGAACAGCATTGCTACAAAAGCTAACAACACAAATTCTTTAGATTATTTTGAGTCACTATTAGAGATTTAAAAACAAGAGTCAGAGTTTAAACAATATTGTCTCAAAGACCAGAGAGTTTTTTTAAAGGATTCCCCTTTGATGTCACTTCCTGTTTCTTTGTCTGAGCTAAATTCATTAGAAAATAAGCCATTTATGTGACAAAATGCATAAAATCTTGTGAATTATATCAAGTTTCTTTATATAAATATGTTTTCTTGGACTTTTTGTAGTTGAAGGATGTGCATGTCACAAGCACAGTAAAAAAATTACAAGTCCTGCTGCTTAAAAGCTAAAAAAAAAGGATGAGGGATGATTTAGACTTTTGCAATTTTACATAATTTGATCAATTAATTAAAAACTAATTTATTGTTTTTAATTTGTGAGGTTTTATTTGCCATGAACAAGTAACTTTTACATTTACAAAAAAAATAATAATAAAAAATAAAAATCTACAGCCCAGTTAATAATTTTATCATCAAACTGTTATTTTCTTGACAGTTATTATTCCTGGTTGATCAGTACTCTGGTTACTGGTGAGTTTTTCTTACTACGTCCTCTAATTTGTTGATTTGTGTCAGATTTTTAATTTAAAATTTTCGAWAAAACTTCACTCCTTTCCTCCTCTGCAGGAGTGTATTCGTTCGGTTTTCTGTCCATGACTCCTCAGATCTTCATCAACCACAAGGTTTGATAAAAACCTGCCTCAAAACATCGATTTAATACGACGGAGTATTAGGGCCACACAACGAGATTTGTTTTATTATCCTTACGACAATAAAGTCATAAGATTATGTGAATAAAGTTGTAATTTTACGAGAATAAAGTCATAATAGTATGAGATCAAAGTCGTAATTTTACAAGAATAAACTCATAATATTACAAGATTAAAATCGTAATATTATGACAAAAAAGCCATGGAAAAAAGTCATAATTTACATGACGTGTCCATTTTCTGTTCCTAATTTCCTCCTTATTTTCCCACACCTGCTGTGTACAGCCATGTCTCTGTGTTTATAAAGTAGTTCATGATGGCTCGGGCCACAGTTCGATTAATTTGATTTCATCCAAATTAACTACGTGACGACTAAATCTGTCAACGCTTCCATTAATTACAAAACGGCTTCAGTTTATCAAATAGTCATTTGCACAATTTGCAAGTCCTGCTAATTTCAGAACCAGAATCATCTTTATCAGCTTAATTTGATGCTAATGAATGAGTTTTTGGAAAGGTAACAATAATAGCATGTAGAGGGAAAACAAATCATATTGCTGAGGTAAACGGTTGTTGAGATATTGACATGTGAATAAACAGGAAGTGATGTCAAAGGGGCTAGATAACTTTATTTGAAGCAATACTAAAGAACAACTTGACAAGCTGCTCAACATTCCTCATTTTAACGCAGTRGTAACCACGTGAATTTTCATGTAAAGGGTATAGTTTTACAACTTTATTTTAGAATATTATGACCTTTTTCTCGTAAAATTATGACTTTAATCTCGTAATATTACGACTTTATTCTCGTAATATTAGGACTTTAATCTTGTAATGTTACGACTTTATTCTCATAATATTATGACTTTTCTCGTAAAATTATGACTTTAATCTCGTAATATTATGACTTTATTCTCATAATATTATGAATTTAATCTTGTAATGTTGCAACTTTTTTCTCATATGAATTTAATCTCATAATATTACGACTTTATTCTCATAATATTATGACTTTGATCTTGTAATGTTATGACTTTATTCTCACAATAATATGACTTTAATCTCGTAATATTAGGACTTTAATCTCATAATGTTACGGCTTTATTCTCATAATGTTATGACTTTAATCTTGTAATATTACGACTTTATTCTCATAATATTATGACTTTAATCTTGTAATGTTGTGACTTTATTCTCACAATAATATGACTTTAATCTCGTAATATTACGACTTTATTCTCGTAATTTACGACTTTATTCTCATAATAATATGACTTTAATCTCGTAATGTTACGACTTTATTCTCATAATAATATGACTTTAATCTCGTAATATTACGACTTTATTCTCGTAATTTACGACTTTATTCTCATAATAATATGACTTTAATCTCATAATAATATGACTTTAATCTCATAATATTACGACTTTATTCTCATAATAATATGACTTAAATCTCATAATATTATGACTTTAATCTTGTAATATTATGACTTTATTCTCATAATATGACTTTAATCTCATAATATTATGACTTTAATCTTGTAATATTATGACTTTATTCTCATAATATGACTTTAATCTTGTAATATTATGACTTTATTCTCATCATAATATGACTTTAATCTCATAATATTATGACTTTAATCTTGTAATATTATGACTTTATTCTCATCATAATATGACTTTAATCTCATAATATTATGACTTTAATCTTGTAATATTACGACTTTATTCTCATCATAATATGACTTTAATCTCATAATATTATGACTTTAATCTTGTAATATTACGACTTTATTCTCATCATAATATGACTTTAATCTCACAATAATATGACTTTAATCTCGTAATATTATGACTTTATTCTCGTAATTTATGACTTTATTCTCATAATAATATGGCTTTAATCTCGTAATATTACGACTTTATTCTCGTAATTTATGACTTTATTCTCATAATAATATGGCTTTAATCTCGTAATGTTACAACTTTAATCTTGTAATATTACGACTTTATTCTCATAATATTATGACGTTAATGTCGTAATATTATGACTTTATTCTCGTAATTTAAAAAAATTACAAAAATCTTGTTGTGTGGCCCTAATCCTCCGTCGTAATTTAAGGATTTTGGAGTCGAAACACATTATTATGCTGTGTGTGATGAAATAAATTAAAGTTAGTTTTTCCTCTCCTGCAGCTGAAGTCTGTGGGCCACCTGCAGGGGTCAGTGTTGATGTACAGAGTGAGTTTTCCACACTGCACATCCTGAATGATTAAAAACTGATCTTTGACCAAATAACCAACAACAATAACCTTTCTGTCCAGGGAGTGAACACGCTGATCACAGACCTGTGCTTCTGCACCTCCTCCTTTGGCTCCGTTCTACCCTTCTCCTCCTCTCATCAGCTCTCCTGCTTCAGAGACGAGCTCCTCTTCTTGCTCTTCCTCTATCAGAGAAGGTGCAACAACCTGAACACGACACTGCACCACACACACATAAGTTTGTATTTCTATCCTTATCAGGACCGTTCATTGACTTCCATTCATTTTAAGTTGTTTCTATAGCCTAAACCTAACCACTCCTGTACATACCCAACCCTAAACCTAACTTAAACTCAACACACCTTAGTCCTAAACCGAACACACAGCCCCAGTTCCATTAGGACTGGTCTTTGGTCCTCATAAGGACTATTGGTCTAGATAAGAAAAGTGTGTGTACCAGAAATGGTAATAATAAACTATTTAAATAGCACCTTCCTACAACGCCTTGCGTTGATCAAAGTGCTTCACAAGATAAAATAGGTCACAATAAATCAGAGCTAGTTAAAAGCACAACCACAATATAAGAAGGCCAAAAGAAACAAAAAATAATAAAAGTTAAATATCAAAAGCCCTTTTAAATAAATCGGTTTTAAGTTTGGCTTTGAACAGAACCAGGTTAGAGATGGCAACACAAAGGGAAGACTATTCCAGGCTGTTGAGCCAGTAACAGAAAAAGGCCGGTCCCTCCATTTCTTGCACCTGGAGCAGATCTTGACCGGCAGAACGTGAAGCTCTGCTGGGCTGGTGGGTCTTCAACAGTTCCGACATGTAGGACGGTGCAAGGCCATTCAAAGCCAGTGCAAAGAACAAGTCTTTTTACCCTTGCATCGAATAGTCCCCGTTTTATTTAGTGACCAATGATTTCAACATGATCCATTTAGTTAATCTTTTTTTGTTTTGTTTTGTTTTTGCTGTGGTGTTCCATCTCCACCAGGCTCTATCCTCCTGCACCTAAAAGACGAGAGCCTGTCACCAGGAAAGTGAAAACTCAGTGAGGAGACAAAGACCACCTCTGTGATCTGCAGGAATCAGGAGAAGGGGGTCTCTGCAGTCACGAAGTGGGAGGTTCTTGGCGTGTGGGCGGAGTTTGGAAAATACATGATTAGTCTGTTTGACTTTTGTGGGAGAAGTTTCTTAATGTGATTGATCAGGTTGAGTATTTGGGGTGGGGTTTGAAGAAGCTGTAATGATCCGGCTGGATGGACGCCGGGCAGCTGGGGGACGTGTAACAATTCGGCTCGGTTGAAACGGTCAGAAAGCTCCACCGCCTATAGTTTTAAATCTGAACATTAATTTTAGTCATAACTCGAGCCAGGAAGGTGCTAGCCCCACAAATTTTGAAGTCAATACATTATACATGTTCACAATAATTTTACTATTGCTGGGTTTCAGTCACATGACCCGGATGATGCATGAATGTCAGATGATGGGCAGGAAGTGATTTGCTCCGATTTAAAACACRGCAAAACGGATCACACTGAGTACGCTAATGCCCTAAATGGGTTTGCGCAGACAAGATATTGTGAAAAACTACGCGTACATTTAGGATAGGATCCATATTGTCTTGATAAAAAAAAGACTTGTTATATAATCTGGAGGATTTAGCCGGCGTCGAGGCGATTGACATAAACGACTATCTGGTGCTGCAGACCTGGTATTAAATAACGAGCCAAATGAAAGCTTTCATAAGCCTTGAAGTTACTGTTATTTAGTTTCAGGTTAGGTCAACCATATAGGATGAAAAGAAGCTTTGACTGGCTGTCCACTTGTTTTGGCCCAGGGGAGTAGTGACTTGTTCTATTTGAAGTAATGATAACAACGCTAACGCTAAAAACGAGCCAACCCCTGCTATTTCTATGTGCTTGGATCARCTTGTAACTAATTTATTTAGCTTCCCTAAACCCAAATTCAAGTAACTATCCAGGAAAATAGATGAAAATAGGATTTGAACAATACGATGGTTACTTATTAGAAAGTGATCGCTGCAAAATTGTTAGATTCTGCACCTCCTGCTTTTAGCCGTAGATTGTTGATCCACTTCTGYCGTCTTCTTTCTGTAAGTTTTTCTTTTAAATTAACTCTCATGTGACACGCTACTTTCAGAACACAAAAAAAAAACTTACATATTTCTCACAATTTGAGCGGTTGCAACAACCATACACGGCACAAAATTTAGGCATTTTAACGTTGAATCAACAGAAGGAAACACGACTGCGTTTACTTCCTGCCCCTCCATCTGCATTTCATGACTTTGATACTATGTCATCTGCAACCCAGCAATTACCATTACGTCATCTTTTAACCTGCCAGTCTGACTGGTCAGTCACGGTTTTGTTAAACTCCGCCCACGCAGCCAGGAAACACCCCCCCCCGCATGTGCTGCAGAGAGCCCCGCTTGGAAATCGGAGGAAACGAGCCAACGGGACACCTGACCGATCTGAGAGCAGCTCCTCTGTGTCGACGCTGCTGCTTCTGGTTTGAAGAGAACTCAGTCATCTGCAAACGATTCATTTACCACAGTTTTAGCATCAGTGTCATGTTGTTTATGAACGCTTCCTGTCAGTTTAGTGCACCTTGATAAGTATTCATTAAAACAGTGGTTCCCTATGGAGGACCAAACCTATCATTATTGGAAATAAATGTATAAATATATAACTGGCGTATTAAAATAAATTATAGGCTCCATAGTATGGAGGACCAAACCTATCATTATTGGAAATAAATGTATAAATATATAACTGGCGTATTAAAATAAATTATAGGGTCAAAAAGAAGTTTGACAAATAAATTATTGTGCCATTAAATCAATTACATCAATTATCCATCCATCCATCCATCCATC